GGGAGTTCTGGAGGGAGGCTGTTGGACTGTTTGGTTTCATTTGTCTCACTGTTTTTCTCACCCGGTTGTTGAATGTCTTAGCCAAGTTGCTGGATTTCTTGTTCATATCTTGAATTTACTCCATTCACCCAAGTATTGAAATCTTCTTCGAGGTCACTGGCCATTTTAACAATGAGACTTCGGTATTTCTGTCAGGCATCTCAACCTGTCTTTGGATTCGGTTGTTCATAGGTGCGACATCTTGGGTGAATCCTATATAGTCCTGCTCTCCATAGTTCTTGTTTTTTTATGAGCTGAGAACTATGCAACTATTGGGATACCGATGGATGCCTATCTTTCCCAGTTCCTTCTGGGGTCTTCTTAGGGAGCAGCTGTTTCTTAGGGCTCAATTTCCAGTGGCACTCAGAGAGAAGCAAATGAATCTTCAGCCTGGCACATTCTGCAGGATAAGGCTCAGGCAGGTCAAAGGTCAGCTATCAAAATCAGGTCTGCGTTCTATTTAGAAGCTTCCCTTCTTTGCAGAGTAGGAGCTGCTGGTGGCCAATACACTTTGCAGCCCATAAACTAGGCAGCTTCTCCCTTGCTCTAGAGGCCCCACGGTGTTCGCAGTCAAGGGTGGCAGATTCCCAAGCCCAGGGGCTCTGGAGTATTGGGGAAGCAAAAAGAGCATTGAGCTCTACAACAGAAGGGGCAAGCCCTGGGTGACCCGTCACCCTGCCCGCCCGTGTTGGTGGCTTCAGATCCTGCCACCTCCTGGAATGGAAGGAGGGAGAGAGAGAGGGAGCAAGCTGTGGAAATAGAGGAATCTGGGATCTGCTACACCTGAGCTTGGAGCTCTGGTCCCAGTATACATAAATAACACACGATATGATGCAGCTCTGGAGGCTGAGCAATCCCCGGGCCACAGGTTTGGGGTTTGGTCTCTGAAGTGACCCTCGGGTGTCAGGGCTCACTCCTTTACAACACAGGGCATGCCTGATGCCCACCACATCCTCACAGCATAAGCTTCCTGCTCCTTAACTTCTTAGTGGGTTGGTACAGGACCCTCTCTGTCTTCACAATGGCCTTTCATAGCTCTCTCCCGCCCAGACACTGGGGCAGGGTGTCCTCAGGGTATCTGACTCTTTGTTCTGTTTTTTAAGATACAATTTTTTGAATTTATTATTTTCTTTTTATGTGACAGGTATTTTGCCTGCATGTGTGTCTGTGTGCTGTGTATGATCCTAGTGTCTGCAGAGACCAAAAGAGGGCATCGGGTCCTCTGGAATTGGAGTTAGTAATGTTTGTGAGCAGCCATGTGGGTGCTGGGAATTAAGCCTGGGTCCTCTGGAAGAGCAACCAGTGCTCTTAACCACTAAGCCAGTTCTCCAGTCCCCCTGACTTATTTTCATGTCCCCAGACTATCTAAGTGTCAAATAATAGACTCCTCCTTACATTTTTAAAATTATTTTGTTTTATGTGTATTAGTATTAGACCTGCATGTATGTTTGTGTGCCACATGCATGCCTGGTGCCCTCAGAAGCCAAAGGAGGATGTCAGACCACCTAGAAATAACATTACAAACAGTTGTGAGACACCATGTAGGTGCTGGGACTCAAACCCGGGTCCCCTGGAAGAGCAGCCAGTGCTCTTACTCACTGAGCCATCCTTCCCATCCCAACAGACCACTTATTGAGATAACACCTTGACATGTCACTGAGATACGGGGAGTGACAAAATGGATGTCTCCTCTCCGCCCGGCCTGCCACATTACAGGAGCCCCTCCACTGTATTTAAAACTTGCAAGAACTTCACATTCACACTGTGGCTAGGATTGGCAAGCTGTCACCGAGTCTGCCTGGCTTACTGTGTGCTTGTGGCTTCGGCTTTCTCTCATGCCTGGCGACTCTGCGGTGGAGCTGTCACCTACTCAACTGGTCTGCCTTTCTGATTGTCCTCCCTTTCATCTCTGCTGACACCATCGCTGTGATCTCCCCTGCCCCTCTCCTTCTCTCCGCGGATAGCCTGTGCTTTGTTAATCTGACTCCTTTATGTGTCAAACAGACAGCTTTCTAATCCACCATCTTCCCCCAGGAAACCTCTTGAAGGCAATTTGAGGTCAGCGTTTGGAGTGCCCCTGTCTGGGGTTTCCTAATGTCTAAGGTTTTCCTCCTGCACTTCCTGGACCCTTGAAACACTACTGGCCATGGTGGAAAAGGAACTCGTGGGGCTTTCCCTTCTTGCCTCAACTAGAAAATGGAATAGATTTATGACAGTGTTTTCTGGTCTTGAATAATAGATACATGAGCCAGTGATCCCTGGGAGAAAATAAAGAAACTGTCTTTTTGTCAACAAGACTGAGAAGAGAGGAGGAAGGGTGACGTAAAAACCATTTGAAGAGGAGCAGGAGAGCGGCTCCGTGGTGAAAAGCGGGCACTGTTCTTCCAGAAGACCCAAGTTCTGTTCCCAGCACCCATGCAAGGCAGTCTACAACCACATGCAACGCCAGCTCCGGGGAATATGGCGCCTGCTTCTGGCCTCCACAGGTCCCTGCACTTCCACCACACCACCACACACCCACTCATGCTCATACACACGGACACACACTTGTGCATAAACATGCACATCGCACACATGCATACACAGGCACATAATTTTAAAAAAATATACTTGAAAAAGTGCCTGAAAGCTTCTATGATTTTATGAAAAATGACAATATATAGATATAAGAACTAAAAAATAAAGGAAACTAAGCCATGAAGAGAGCCACACCTACAGACATCACAGCCAAAGAGACTGAGTCAAAGGCAGGGAAATTCTGTAAGTAGAAAGTGAAGACTGGTTGGTCATACACAGGGGGGCATAGTTAACAAGCAACTTCTCAGTATAAATAACAAGAAGTGAAGAGGTGGCACATTTCATGTGTAAAAAGTAAACAGGCAACCCAGATTCTGAAGCTCGTAAAGCTGTTGTTTAAATTCAGTTAGAAATAAAACATCCCTAATTTTTAAAAAAGCAAATGAGTTTCTTGCAGATATACTGTGTAAGAATTGGTAAGACATATAGAAACTAGTCCATGTCAGTGACTAAGTTCACACACCAACACATGCATGCATTGTTTTTTAAATATGTATTTATTTAATGTCTATGTATGTGTGCCTAAGTGTATGTCTATATTCCACATGTGAATAGGTGTCTGTGGAGGCCAGAAGAGGGTGTCAGAGTCTGCGAACTGGAGTTATACATGGTTGTGAGCCACCTAGTGTTGGTGCAAGGAACCAAACCTGGGTCTTCTGCTAGGGCAGCATGTCAAGGTTGGAGAGATGACTGGTCGAGGGGGGCGGGGCGTTGAGAGCAAGGGCTACTCTTCCAGAGGACCTATATGGTGTCTAGTTCCAAAGGATCTAATGCCCTCTTCTGGATTCCACAGGTACTGCACACATGTGGTTCACAGACATACATGCAAGCAAAATATTCATACATAGAAAATAAAAATTTCAAAAATATTTTTTGAGCAACAAATGATGTTGACACTGAGCCATCTCTCCAGCCCTATATGCATGCATCCTTAAATGCCTTCAAACTTCAATATTATTTAAAATAATAGTTGGAGCTCTGCATTGTTTGTTTTGTTAAAAACATAGCACACTTACATATTTAGAAAGAGAATTGATCTGTGTTTTTCTAGCTCCCATAATAAACACTACTGGGCACCCTGGATGTTACACATCTTATGAAAAGTTGATAAAGGAAGGAAGACTGGCGAGGGGCCTCAGGATTCCAAGAATGGCATAGAGTTGAGTTCTCTGGGTTATTCTTTTCTTTACATAACTCAGATTTGACCCCTAAGAAAGTGACACCCTGGAAATACTAATGTGTTTAAATAAAAATGCCCCAATGAGAACTCACTTTCCCTAACCAAAGGAGAGGGGATGGGACAGGTAGTGACATGGGACCTTTCAAACAAGAATCTCTCCTCTGCTGCCAAACATGAAGAAGAGACTGAAGCCCAGCTCCACATGGCCATGAGAACCTGGGGAGAGAACAGATGTCTGTCCTTGGGAGGTGACGTAGCTACTTTTGCGCCTCTGTAATCAAGTCCTTGTTTTAGCAGCTCAAGGTAGGGGAAGGTTTCCTCACAGTTTCAGACAGATTTCAGTACCTCACTGCAAGGGAGGTGTGGTAGTAAGCCCAGCTCATGGGTGTAGTGGTAGCATGTGGTGGTGTGTGCAGATCATGGGTATAGTGGTAGCATGTGGTGGTGTGTGCAGATCATGGGTATAGTGGTAGCATGTGGTGGTGTGTGCAGATCATGGGTGTAGTAGTAGCATGTGGTGGTGGGTGCAGATCATGTGTTAGCATGTGGTGGTATGTGCAGATCATGGGTGTAGTGGTAGCATGTGGTGGTGGTGGGTGCACATCATGGGTGTAGTGGTGGCATGTGGTGGTGGGAACAAACCATGGTGTAGTGGTAGCATGTGGTGGTGTGTGCAGATCATGGGTGTAGTGGTAGCTTGTAGTGTGGGTCTCCACGCAGCAGCTGATGTGGAAGCAGAGAGTGTGAGCCAGAACCAGGGGTAAGTATAACCTTCAAAGGCTCACTGCCAGTGTTTCTATTTCTGCCAGCCACACCCCACCTCCGAAAGCGTCCTTAGCCTTCAAAAGAGCAGCCTAAGCAGGAGACCTAGCATTCCAAACAGGAGCCTGGGGAGGACATTTCAGATTCAAGCCGCACCTGGCCCACAAAGGCTCATGGCCATTTCATAATTCAAAATGTACTTAGTCCAACTTCAAAAGGCCCCATAGTCTTAACAGTCCCGATTCTGCTCAAAAGGCCAAAGTTCAGTCTCTTCTGAGTCCCAAAGAAGTCTTTCAACTGGGAGCCTCTCTAAAGCCAAAACTTAAGTTACACGTTTCCAGCATACAAAGGCATGGAGCAGGCATTTGCATTTCAAAGGGAGGGACAAGACAGTGAGGAAAGATCGGACCAAAGCAAGACTAAAATCTAGCAGGGATATTACCTGTGGGGCACGTGTTGGCTTCATGTGAACTTCAGTGAGCTTGAACGGATCCATTCCATCAGTCCAGTCATTTGCAACACATGACCTTTCGCTTGGGTTGGTTGCACTCAGGACTTGCAGCTTTCTCAGGCAGACATTCCACATTCTGGAATATGTATATTTTGCTAGAGAATATTAGCACTATTTGAGAAGAACACAAATGAAAAAATGGAGCTATGCTCAGTAAGGCTGATTTTTTTTTAAAAGATGTATTTACTTTTATTTTATATGTATGAGTATTTGGCCTACATATATGTTATACACCAGGTGCCTGTAGAGGTCAGAAGAGGGCATCAGATCCCCTAGAACTAGAGTTACAAAGGATTGCCAGGTGCCAGGAACTGAACTCGGGTCCTCTGGAAGAGCATCCTGTGTTTTTAACCACAAACATCTCTCCAGCTTCAAGCCATTGTGTTTTCACCAGAATTAAGTTATTATTAAGGAAATGGCAAGAAGTTAAAGATGAACTTTGTGAATAGTGTGGTTTATGGAGCAATGACAAAAAATTATTTAGTTGAAAAATAAAAGTGGGATTAAAAATGACAACTGAAAATTGCTTACAACAGAGGGTAGGAAAGGAGGAACAGATAGCAAACATTTTGAATCAAAGAGCCCCACCACACCACTGACTACACCAACATTATCACTGATCATATAAAATGTGATCGACCAACTGTTTCAATGAAAATATAAAAATTGTTAAACTAGACGTAAGAAGAAAAAGCCGAGTAAGTTCTGACTATAACATATAGAACTTCCTGGAGTTAGGAAGAGGCCTCTATCTGAGAAAGCATTTGGGACACCACATAGACAAGACTAGGAAAGAAGTTCTCCTGTCACACTATAAGTAAAACACTAACACACAGAACAGAGACAACACCGTGAAAGCAGCTGGGGTCTCGCAGAAAGGCAGGCCCTTCAGAGCAACAGCGAATCATCCAACAGAGACTTTCAAAGCCAGGAGGGCCCGGATAGCTGTATTTCCAGTTGTGAAAGACAACAATTGCCAACCCGAATTCTCTAATCATCAAAGGAAAAATGAAAACTTTTCATGATTAAAAAAAAAAAGGTAAAGGAATTTATGACTGTAAGCCAGTTCTACAGAAAACACTACAGAAGGTATCCTTCAGACCAGAGAAAAACAAGTCTGTGAGGTCACAGGAAAGAATAGATGGTGCTAGAATAACAGTTAACCAAGAGGGAAAGAGGAAACAAAACACTACAGAATCAGCAAAATGGCAACAATCAGTAGAAACATTTAAAAAATAAGTCTGAGTATTAATGATCTTAAGTCCCCTGTCAAAAGGTACAGACTAGGAGGTTGGATCATCAAGCAGGGCCTTCCTATTTGCTGCCTCCAAGAAATGCACCTCACCACAAAAGACAGACACTGTCTCGGGGTCAAAGGATGGAAAAGGTGTTCAAAGCAAATGGACCTAGGAAACAAACAGGAGTCAATGTTCCAGTACCTGACAAAATAGACTTCCTACCCAAAGCAGTGAAAAGCAATTAAGAAGCCCACTTCATACTGGCTACACAAACAAGTCATCAAGAAGACACTGTGACTTTAAACATAAACGTCCGAACACAGGTATACCCAGTTTCATAAAACAAATACTATTGTATGTAAAGTCACAGATTAACCTGAGCACAATGGTTGGTGAGTTCAATACCCCATTCTCAGAAACTGGCAGGCCTTCTCAACAAAAAGAAAAGGAATACATGAATCAAATGGCATCATAAATTCAATGTATTTAACATATTTACAGAACATTCCATTCCAAGTCTGCAGAACATACATTCTTCCTAACAGCCCAAGAAACCCCCTCTGAAATAGACAATACATTAAGGCTCAAAGCAAAGCTCACCAAATGCAGGAGAGTTGCAATAATCCCCTGCATCCCATCTGTTCACAATGGAACAGACAATAAATCGATAGCAAGAGAAAGCCCAGAGCACACACAGACTCATGGAGGGTAAGAAATACCCTATTGAATGAGGAATGGGCCCTTGAAGAAATCAAAAAGGAAATAAAAAATTATTAAATCAAATGAAAATACAACGTACCAAAACCTATGGGATGCAACAAAAGCTTTCCCAAGAGGGAAGTTTATAGCTTAAATATCTACATTAAGAAACCAGAGAGCTTGCAAATAAATAACAACATACCTTAAAACTCTGAAGAAAAAAAAAAAAGAACAAGCCAAATCCCAAATCAAATCAGTAGATGGAAAGGAATCATTAAGATCCGGGCAAAAATTAATAAAGTGGACACAAACAAACAAACAAACAAAAACTACAAAGGAGTCAATGAACCAAAGAGTTGATTCTTTGAAAAAAGAAACGTGATTGATGTATCAAAAGAATCTAACCAGAAGAAAGAGAGAAAAGATCCAAACGAACAAAATTAGACATGTAAAGGGAGAAATTACAATAGATACCAATAAAATCCAAGAAGTCATTAGGCTTTACTTGAAAACACATACTCACTCTACTAATTGGAAAAGCTTAAAGATATGGGTGAAGGTCCTATGTCTAGATGCACATGACACACCCAAATTAAGTTAACTCGAGATAAACAATGCAAACAGACATTTAACAAGCACTGTGGTCAAAGAAGCACCTTACAAATCTCCCAGCTAGAAAAGGCCAGGCCCAGATGGGTTCCCGGTGAGTTTTGCCAGAACTTCTAAGAACTTACACCAATGTTTTCTCAAACTATTCCATAAACCGGAAAAGGGGCAAACACCACCAAACACTTTGTATGAAGTCAACGCTGCCGAGATATCAAAAGTAGACAGATGCCTCCCAAAACAGGGCAGGGGGGCATTACAGATCAATTTTCCTGATGAACTTTGAGGTAAAAATTTGTAACAAAATACTTGCAAATCTCATTCAAGAGCATATCATTTTACTACAAAGTAAACCATGACAGCAGCTAGATATTGGCTTAATTACAGATACACACATCAAAGAAGTAGAATTAGCCACAAATTTACCTATATATTAATGGTTAATTGATTTAACAAATGTCCCAAGGTAGAATAATGTGCTGAAATATGAAGGTAGGAAATCTTTTTCTTACATATGCTATCCAAACCTCAATGTATAAAATTTAATTTATTCAAAATGTAAATGCTTACTCTCCAATTAGAAAGGTACAGAATCTTCTTATCCATTGCAGATCCATTAACTGGGAAAAAGGACAATACAGAGAAGTTGAAGGTAAATCCCTACTGCTGATGACACCATGCACTTCAGACACAGGACTCGGATGACCTGAGCTGGGTCTGACCTGAATGTCTCCTCCCTGAGGACTAGCTTACACAGTACCAGAAGGTGCTACACAAGCTGCCAAGGGAGCGAAGCAACCAACAGTCCTTCTCAGCTGTGACACCTATGGACCACGACAGTGACCAGCACGTCAGGAGATCCCTGATGGTGCAGTAGTGGCGCTGACATCTTGGTGGAACCAACAGCTGTCGAACTGGACTTAAGGCCCACTCAATAAGAGGAAGATCGTGCTTGACACCATAACCCAGATGGCCACCTGGCACTAGGAATGTCCTGGATCGAGGAGAAACTGATACAGCCACTTTCCTAAACCTGTATTATCTCTAACTGCATTCTAAATATTTATCTTTGTACCCACAGACAAGTATAACTCTCACCCTTCATCAAAGAAGCTTCTTTTTTCAGAAGATGGAGGCTATTACAGATGGCTATGATGTTCAAAATGCAGATGGCACTGACTATGGGATGCCTACCTCCAGTTGATACATCTACAACACAACCCCAAACCCAAGGCTCAGGGAACATCATGGGAGAGGGGCAGAAAGACAGTAAGAGCCAGAGGACCCAAAAGTTTGTTGTGAGATTGTATCTCCTAGACATGACAGGAAGTTGCACCCACAAAAATCTCAATAATATGATGCCTAAACAAGGCCTGAACAGTGACAACACCAGATGGTAGCCCAATGCGGATGGGAGAAATCTCATAGAACTCTACCCCTAGACGAAGAGCTACAGGCAATTAATGACTACCAAGAGAGGTAGAATTAGTCTTCCCAGGATGAGCTCCTAATTGGTTATCCAATACCAGTGGTCAGCCCCTAAAAACATATAAATGTGAGAAACACTAAATGGGCACAGCAGGTTGTATTTATACATTTACCATGTATACATATATAAAGCAATAATTTTTAAAGAAAAGGGCCATGAGTTACATACGCAAATAATATAACTGTTATAGGATTTGTATCCATATCTTAATAAATAAGGCATGAGGCTCAATAAATAAAATTTATGAAATGAGTTTTTAAGAAGTGATTACATGCTTGAAGGCCCTTAGGAGGCACGAGGAAGGTTAACTACATGGGAAATGCTCATCATCATTGGCCGTTAGGTTTAAATTTAGATAAAGTAACTGTCCTTGTTTTCTTCTTGTTGCTGTGATAAACACCATGACTAAAAGCAACTTGGGGAGGAAAAGGTTTATTTGGCTTACACTTCTACATCATAATCCATCATTGAGAGAAGCCACAGCAAGAACCTGGGGCAGGAACTGAAGCAGAGACCATGGAGAAGTCCAGGAGGCAGGAACTGAAGCAGAGACCATGGAGAAGTCCTGGAGGCAGGAACTGAAGCAGAGACCATGGAGAAGTCCTGGAGGCAGGAACTGAAGCAGAGACCACGGAGAAGTGCTGCCGACTGTTTTATTCTCCAGGGCTCACTCAGCTTGCTTAAAAAATGTTTTTTAACTTTTAAAATTTTATATGTTAGGTATTGGTACACCATGTGTGTGCCTGTTTCCCACACAGGCCAGAAGAGGGTGCCAGACACCCTGGAACTAGAGCTATAGATAGCAGCCGTATGGATGCTGGGAATTGAACTCAGAGCCTCTGCAAGAGCAGCAAGTTCTCTTATCCACTGAGCCATCTCTTCAGGTCCATCAGCTTACCTCTTTATACATCCCAGGCCTACATGCCCAGGGCTGGCACCACACACAGTGAGCTGGGCCCGCCCATATCAATCATAAATCAAGAAAATGCCCCATGGATATGCCATGCCTGCACACCAGTCTGATGGAGGCATCCTCTCAGCTGA